GGGAAAGAGCAATATTGAGACCTACGTTCTCCATGAGAAAAGCAATATATTTGAAAGTGTTGCTATAAACTCCAGTCCTCTGTTCCTCCACAGTCAGATCAGATGGAGGAAGGCAAGTTGATCAGGCACTCCATGGCTGCAAAACACACTGAGTCATGGAGAACAAGGCCAAACAGTCTCCATCTGAGAAACTCCACCACACCAGACGGCACTGGCTATTAATTTGAAAAGAAAAATGTAATTGGGGGTGAATCATTGGTCTTCCCAGGACCACAAATCCAGAAAACACTTCAGAATCTCTGGATGGAAGACAAAGCCCAGCACAAGCGCATTGCAGTCCACTGACTTGTTTTTATCCAAGCCAGTAGAGATCAGGACACAGGAAAAATTACCAGGATTTGGCCACTAGCCTTTTCGAGTGCTGGCAGCGAAAGAGAAAGCCTGAAACTGGGCAGAATGTGACTTGGAGTTGGCACAACAGGGAAACTGGGTATCAACAGCGCAGACATCTGAGAATCCAGTGAAGCGGGTCTGTTGTGAGCGGTGTCCTGGGAAGGGCTGTTTGGCCTTCTGGCTCGGCAGGTTTAGAGAGGAAATGTGTGGATTTTAAGCTCCTTCTACTCACAGAGAGTTCCTCCACTGAAAGCATCATGATGATTCTTGGTTTAGGCTTCAACGACATTGTTTGGATTGACTTTTCGGGCTAACAGAAGGGGAAAATGGGCTCTTGTTCCTCCAGAAGGAGACGACAGCGTATTTTTAAAAACAAATTATGTATGAGGGCTAATTAACTTGACATTTACAGCTTAGCATTCTCCTAGATAAATTTTCTCCAACTGAGACTATATTTTGTTGCAAGGAAACTTCTGCCTAGCATCTCTTTTCTCCTGCTGCTTCATATGCTGTGATATTAAGGTCACGAGCCATCTTCCAATGTCCTGTTCAGTGCCTTCCAATTAAGTAATGAGTAAAGCGAAGATCCTAGGTACAGTTTAGCTGTGAGGGCTGAGACATCACTCTGTGGGGCTCCTTATGGTTCTGGTCAATGTTTTAACAGCTAGAATGAGTCTAGCAGGACAGGCTCCGAAAGGAGCTTGCTACAGAGCAATGAAGTAATCAGCAGAGCTCTGAAAAGGTCATGCTAACGAGGGCAAGGAGACAAGGATGTAGGTGAGGGATCTATCTCCTCCTCCGGCACTAAGAGCTTGCCAAATAATTTGCTTTCTGAGCATGCTGTGGTTATGGTGAGCAGGCTGGGGGGACAGACAGCTCGGATGCATGGGCAGGATGGGGCAGGCAAAAATCCTCTTGTTCTTGCTGCTGCAGCCCCCCTGGGCCCCTGCCGTGGTGCGCGGGACAAGATCATCAGCAACCTGTCCCACCACAGGAGCTTCAAAACCCTGTTTGCCTGTGCTGTGCGTGTGCTTCAGGGCTGCGCGGCACAATGGGACAGCACTTGCTCCACTCACTAGAGACATGCAGCTGAAGAGAGAGAGCCTAGGCTTGTTTCGACAAGGGGTGGTGACATTACGGTGACATTATTTGGGTGTTATTTAACCCTCAGCAAAGCCCTCCCTCTCCTGCCAAGCCCATTTTCCAACCCAGGGAGCATCCCCTGCCCTAACCAGAGCATCCGACAGTGCGCTACTGGGAACTCATGCGTTATCTAGGCAATTATCAGAAAGAAGGGAAAACAGCTTCACTTGTACCTGTCCAGAGAGCAACTGAGCACAGTGGCAGCTGAAAAAAACCTGTTTGGAGAAAGCACTAACATAATGAATCACCGTAGTCTGTACAAAGCAGGAGTTAATAGGACGCTCTCCTTCAAAAATCATATTAGAAGACGTTGATGGCAATGAGCCTGCATCAGTTGCTCTCCCCGCACTTCCACTCTCTGCCATCCCAGGTCGAGTTAAGGTGATCCAGACGCACCTCTCATTGCTTTAGGAGAAAAATGTGGCTTATATTTTCCTGAGGGTCACAGGTAACTAATGCGATATGGGCAAGGCTCAGGACAAGGTAAAGCCCCATACTGGTGTGAACGGTTGCGGCGAGATCAGTGGGCTATCTCCAGGGCCTAGCTTTGGGAGAGAAAGTCCCAGGACCCTGCTTGACAAGATGAAGGGATAAAATGCGCCACCCGTAAGACTCGCTTGTGGGAGGGCTGCAGGTCTGCACGACTACATGCTTATGTGCAGATGGAAACCTTGAACTTCTTTCAGTCTTTCAGATTTTCTTCACTTAATTTTTAAGCCTGAATTGACAAATCTTCAACTAACAAGGTCAGTTCTTTACTTTCCCCACAACACCAAACTATAAACATAAGTGGTGGTGGTGGGTAAACAAACAAACGAACCGAAAGACACATACATAAAACCCAAGCAAATCATTCAGTTGTTGTAAAGCCCAGAAGCTCTAATCAAGGCTCCAGTGTATTAAGCACGATACAAACAGAACGGACTCAGTATCCAGCTTTTGAGGCTGGTGAGTTCAACCTGGCTAGTGAGGAAGACAGGCAGGATGGCAAAAGGAAGGGCATGAGGTTTTAGTAGAAATAACTGTGTGCTAAAATAAATAATCCATAAGAGACTGTTGTTAATAACCAACTTTCCCCACAGCTCTCCCGCGTGGAATATCCTGCCTACCCGAAAGCCCTTCACACTGCTTTCAGGCAGGTGTCAAAGAAGCCTCCCTGGAAGCTTTGCTCAGAGTGGACTGCTTCCAGGTAAGTCCCACTCTGCAGAAAGAAAAGCGAGGCTCTGTATTTAGTAGAATCACCTACATGTATTTTTTGACCTCCCCAGAGATCATGGCTGCTTGGCATCACAAAACAGCAGGCTGGCCCACACGGCTTTCAAAAAAAAGCCACCCCACTCTGCTTGAAAAAGGCTCCAAATTTTGATCTTTTTCTTGATGCAGCAAAGCTCCTTTCTGCCCTTGAGCTGAGAGAAGCGGGTGCTCTCATCAGACAGAGGACAACCAGAAGCACATCTCAGAAGCACAAGATGTACTGGGCTCTCTGGAGACTGCTAATGATGTTTGATTAATTTTCATTACCAGTGTGAGCAATCTTTGGTCTCTCTCTGCATCTGTCTTATTTAGAGTTGTCTCTTCTTTCTTAGTTAAATGGCAGCTTCTCCAGACAGTGATCTATTTGTTCCTCAGCACCTGCTTGAAGCTCTCCAAGCTAAGGATGGACATTGTGTAATTTGCAGCACGCGTGATATGGTCTTTAAGGCTCAGATCAAATAAAATGGAATAGCAGATTAGCCAGTAATTGAATGAAGTGGAGGGCAATGTGCAGGCTGATGCTGGGGCTGCAGAAATTCTTGGGCTGGATGACACGGAATAACAAACAAAATCAAAACACACATGTTGTGGTCACCAAGTGGCAGGACAAACAACCTTTCAGCAGATACCCTGAGCTCACAGGGTACAAGCTGCTCGCTGTCCACCAGGACAACGAGCTTTTGCCGTGGATTTTTATACCGGGTCTTTGCAGCGCTATGAAACTCGGACGCGGCAGCCGGGGCACGAGTTTGGCTACTGCCGGCAGGGCAAATGCCCGGGACGGGGAATGTGCTGTCACCTATGGCCTGTCGGCATCCTCCAGTGCGGTGCAGGGAGCACCTGATGCTGAGCCCTGTGAGGGTGAACCTGGCTCCCAAGTCGGGGCGGTGAAAGCCTTTGGAGTTAGGCACGGGGAGGCGAGGGGTACTCGGAGGACGGTGGTCGGAGGAAGGGCGCCCGGGGTCTGGCTTGTCGACGCAGCTGCAATGCCCTCTCCCGGGCACTCGCCGTTCCAGGACATCGGAGGTGGTAAGTCAGCCCCTCAGTCGCAGCTCAGAAAACCTGTCCCTGGTGTGGCCGCGGCCGTGGCCGTGCCAGGGCAGAGCACTTACCAGCCCTCAGGCATGTTCGTGTGCCGGGAGGGAGATAACCTTGTCAGCGTTCAGCTGCAAGCCCCTCTCAGTTGGGTAGGCTTGGAGAAGCCCCTCTGTGGGCTATAGCCCTTCTGTGAGTCCCACGGAAGGATCCCAGCCCTTTCTTATTTACCAAGCTTAATTTTGATTCCCTTCTATCCAGATGACAACAGGCACTCATTGAGGCAAATACTGAGCGACTGGGAGTGGTACAGCCAGAGCCACAGACGGAGCTCTTGGTCTACATATAAAAAGCAAAACAAACTTAGAATCTGTACCAGAGAAAATGTTCTTAAACACTTTTAACTTCCAAAAAAAGAATACCATCCTCCAACTCACTAGAGCACTGCACTGGACTGGCAGGCAGGAAAACTTAGCCCACTTTCCTCCGCTGCCACCCAGCTTCAATGCCCTGAACTCATCTTTATGCTCTGCATTTCTCATCTACACAACCAAAAGCACCAGCTCCAAAGACTTCTGCCTGGAGAGCCACTGGCTAGACTGATGATTTGGCCATTTTGAAGGCCTGGCTCTTGGGACGCTCCCAGGAGGCATCCAGCTTTTGGAGGACAGGCGGGACGAGGCTCGCCCCCAACAAAAGTAGATCTTCCACTCCACAATAATTAGTCCGAGCAACCCCTTGTCTTCTGCTACATAAAATTAGGAGTTACTTGAAGTCCTGTTCTATTTTAATTCACTTCAACATACATGGAGAATCAGGCACACTGTACCCAGCACCAATGAAAACAAATATAATTCCTGGAGCAAAACCAAAAGTCATTCCTGATTACACTACCGAGCAGCAGTGCACAGTGTAAAATGGCAAACCAAACTCTGCCATCCTCCCTGCGTTTGGGTGGGGGAGAGCTTAACAGCCTCTGCTCTGACAACCAAAACATTGCTATTTCAAACAGAACTTTCTTCCCTTGTAAACCACTTTTTGTTAATTGAAGGAAGAGGCGTTGCCTGTGGTTGAAAGCTGCAGCCCTGGCACGGCTGTCGATGTGATGAGGCAGTCGGGGGAAGCTCACAGGGAGCTGCTTTGCAGGGTGTTGTCATGGGAACAGAGCAAGTAGGGCATCCGCCGGGCCGCGGCATCTGCACAAACTCCAGCAAGGCGGTGGCATAAAATCAACGCCGTTCAGTGGCACTCGGAGAGCCAGCTGTTAGGTTGTCTCTAGCAGAGACTTAACTGGAACGAAACGCAAAGGCCAGAACCTCCCTTTGTGTGAAACTGGTGTCACTCCTTTTGATCTCAATGGAGCAAGACTTTACGCCAAGTGAGTGTCTAGGCACAGTCACTGGAGCGAAAGCACGGCCACTAAAAATATCCGGTGGAACCACAATTTATCCTAAGAATCCTCTGAAATAAGGTCATGTTAGAAAGCAGTTACTGAGGGCCTTGTTTACTTAGATGATTTCACTTGATTTTTCACTGTTTTACACAACTTAACAGCCTATCGATCTGTCATCCATAATGATTAATGGCAGAAGACAAAGGGTTGAGCCCGGTGTGTACGTCACCAGGGCGTACAAGTTAAGAATACAAAATACTGCCACAGTGTCAATATTTGTGGTCATCTGAAGTACCTGACTCCCTTTGCACAAAGCTGTCTTTGATCACAACTTACCTCCTCTGCGCAGGTTTGCATATGTGGAATTATTAGAATTTTCTTTATGTTTGTAAGAAATACCTCGTGTGACACAAGGGATAAGCAATGGTTAAGAGTGGCTTTTTGGGTAAAGAAGAATATGGAGAATCCTGCTCTTGCAGTTATAAGGGATAATATATCTAAAAAAACCCAATATTGTTAATGTTACATCGCAGAGACTAGTGAAAGTAGAACCAAATGCAATAGGTAAGCCAAGATCTGAGAAAGGTTGAAAATGCTAACTAAAAAAAGGTTAAAAGAGCAAAACTCAATTCATTGCCTCTAAGCTTTCATTTTATCTTGCCCTGCTGACAAAGTAAAGAGCTCCTAATTAAAGCAGGTATCTGCAGTGTAACTGCATTGTTGCCGCTGACCCAGGCCAGCAAAATGCCTCATTTCCTATCGGCACTGAAGTGTGAATGAGGGGGCCCTCATCCATCCAGGACTCCCTTGATGTGTGCCTTGGAAAAGTGACCAAAATAGCAGGCAAGGGAAGAAAACAGAGCCAACACATGGAGGGGTTCCCAGTTTACTTGTTGAGGTTATTGGTTAAAGCCCCTCTGCTCAGCAACAAGTTTGAGAAAAGTAATGATAAATTTTACTACAAAAAAGGCCTGTAGTTTTATCGTAATCATAGTCTTGCACGGCCTTCAGCGTATCTCTCGCTGCCTGTGGTGCTCCCATGCAGGCTGCAGCAAAGGTTGGAATGAAATGGCTGGCACTGGGTAGTGCGTGTTCTGGATTCATGGTGACTTTACTTCTAGTGCTGATCCCTTTGAATACAAAACAGGGAGCATGGATTTATTAGACTAATCCCAGTGGATTACTCTGTATGGGGAAGAAAGTCTGGGTCTTTTTTGGGCATAGTTACTTCCATGCAAACACGCCTCTGGCTAAAGCTCTCCTGTGGAGACGAAGAAGGCGTACAAGACACAGTGCGTAGAGCAGCACCAAACTTGTCTTCCCATGGGCGATGCACGCACGTTGCCCGAGGTCCTGCCGGGCCAGGCCTGGCAGAGGATCTGAATAAATTCTGGATTAAATAAACAAATGAAGAAGCTGTTCTTCATGCTGCAAGGGATGAAGCCAGAGTTGTGGACTTACAGATCGTGGTTAACCAGCTGAAGGCCCCTTCTCATCTACAACCTGCTGTTCCTTGCATTTGCAGCACGTCTCCTTCGCCGAAGGAAGGGATGCGCACTGATAAAGCATGACACACGTCACTAATTGAAACCATAGACAGAACACTGCATGCTTCCCATGCATGCATTACAGGGAGCCAGCCTGTACTAACAAAATGCTCCGGTGTTCGAGAGTACCAAGTGACCTTGTGTCAACAGAGAGCGACCTTGAACTCTTACATCCCACAGAAAAGACAAGAGTGGATTCACTGAGACAGAAAGATAAAATAGATGCAGAGCTCTTTCAGCACTTCCCTCCATTTGCTTCATATCATAAATATCAATACAAATATAGAAATACACAGGTAAACAGTTTGTCTAGCTTGTCCTTTCCATATGCATGTATTTCTGTTGTGAAAGGCCTTACGTAACTTCTAACAGCAGATTGCAAAATCATGCCTCTTTTATGGAAAGAAGCCACCAGCCATTACATTGCATCATTGTAATGTAATGGGTCTCTGAGATGAACTATATTTGGAAAGCTTGCTTTTATTGTAAACCTTGTAGCCCATCCACCCCCCGGCATTGATTTCTCTTTGTATTCTCCAGGGACCAAAGACCATGAGGCCAGAATATCAGCTAGCCCTGAACAGAGCCACTGGGGTTTTGGTCCAAAACAGAAACTCATGAGACAGAACTGCGCTGTTTATTTTAAGGCACGCAGTACCAGCGACAGAACGTATTCAAATGGATGCTGATGACCGATCTGCTGAAAGATGAACTTCTCATTAGCCTAAAGCAACTGACATTGTAATTAATTGCTTCCCACACATTTTTGCTAAGTAAATGCTGCTGTAATAACAAGTGCTGCCGTCATTTTAATTTTTTAACTGAACATCAGGAATAGACAAAAGAAAATCTGTATTTACTTTGTTTTTCTTTCTGTGCAAATGTCACATTGCTTTCATGTTGGCAATGAGTGCAGAAGTGCTGATTCAATTACTTATTTACATAATCCCTTCAGATTTTTCTCTTCCATCATTGTTAATAACGAAAAGATTTTCTCAGCTGAGAAAAGGAAGAGAAGCAGGCAAGTTCTGAATGTGAATAGGCTGAACTGACATAAAAAGATGGCAATTTGCATTAGTAAGAAATAATCATAATGCAGATGATTAAAATTATGGCAAATACTGTCTACCCTACCTGCCCTGAGGAACAGCAACCCCATGACACTGAATGCCTGTTCAACTGCAAAGTGCAAAGCAACACAAACTGTTTGACGCAGCACAGCAGAGTCCAATGTTATTGCCACTTAGTGCATAAAGTTATTTCACAGGGGAAAGGTTTTGAAGTACTCTTATTCGCATGTGACTCAGCACAGCACGGTAAGGAGGAGCAGAGACATGGCTTTAGCGCACTGTTGTCTACAGGGATGATGCGACTTTGGGAAGGCTCCTGCAGCAGGAAAGGAAAAGCAGAAGCCCGCTCTGCACGTACAGCGCCTGGAAATGTAAAGCCCTTTATAATCTATAAGATGACCGAGCAGAAAAGATACTCTCCTGCAGCGGCTCCCCGCCCCAATGCCTGTGCTGTGTCCTTCACTGCATGGTCCCGAGCTTTGGCTCCCAAAAGCCCTGCTCAGGCAGTGCCCCAATGGCCCAAGGGCATTTGCTACGCCCCACAGCTCACCTTCTCTGTGGGATGGGACCAGGATTTCATCCTCCCCAGAGGCTCAGAAGCAGAGCCTTTGAATGATCAAAGGGATGGCCAGCAGCTCTTGGGGGGAACCGATTGTCTGAGTCTTGATGATGGAGACAAATATGACAGAAGCTATAAAACTGTGAAAAGTTCACTTGTAATTCAACACAGTGCACTGATTGCAAAGAACAATGTTTAGTTTAGAGAAGCCAGTGTACAGCTGCAACTCTCAAAATAAATCTTGTTATTAAAGCACATTCTATGTTACTTTAAAAAAGAAAATTAGATGCAAGAGCTCAGCTCCATCAACTTGAAGCGCTGGTCCAATAAGGACTGAGTTAGCAGTGCAGGGAGCAGCCTGCACGTCTCTAAAGCTCAGACTCTACAGATAAACCTTTCAGAGCCCTCTTGAAGATGAAACCCACGTTCAGCCCTTCTGGAAGATTAGATAGCTGAAGAGCAGTTATGATCAGGGCAATCATTTAAGCAACATTTTTCTTAAAATCACCTTTTCTTTACATTTTTAAACATTTTTTTAAACTAATTTAACAGTACTGCTTCTGATACTGCTGTGCTGACAAGAAAATTAAAAATAACCCCTGAAAAAATCTAAATGTTAAGATGCAATCTTCCAATACTTTTTTCTTAATAATTCATCCAGCAGTTTTGCTTAGTAAATCACTGCTTACTGTTTTCTAGCAGCAGAATGGACACATCTTCTAGAAGATGTAATCTTTACACCTTGCAGCACCAAGAGCCTGTGGCTTACAAGCTCCTGTTTTGTTTTTTTTTTTTTGGTGCCCCTGGATTTTAATTTGAGGAAGCTCCAAGACTGGGCCTGAAGGTCCCAAAGGCCGCTCCAGCCATCTAAAAAAAGGGGCACTTATTACCTGTGTATTAGAACTCTTTGAGCATGTTAGAAAATTGGTCTCCCAGACTATCTAGGAGAAATCTTTTCCTACACTGAGCTGTTCCAAATGCAGCGATGCCTCTGAAACTGCACATTATTTACTTCAGCTCAAAACTCAATCCGTGTTTTTCTAGAGATTCAGCACGTTTTTCGACTCTGCAGTCGACTCGCCCACCACAGACTATGAGCGTGGGTGGCAAGGGAGACTCGGAGACACCTTCACGCTTCAAAACACTTCCACTGCGGATACAGTCGTCACACAGACAACTTGTTTGGCTCAGGCTGCAACCTGATGTGTGCTCATCACACTCCACTGGCAATTTTCCCTGAATTCTAAAGAAAGGTGTTTTGTGTTTCCATAGTGACTCAGGCTCCTTTACCGAGGTGCCTGATGCACCATGAGTATTACACAACCCACTGTATGAAAAGGCCTGTAACTAGTAGTGTCCCCCAGGGATCCGTACTGGGCACAGTCTTGTTCAATTTCTTCTTCAATGACCTGGATGAAGAGTTAGAGTGCACCCTCAGCAAGTTTGCTGATGACACCAAACTGGGGGGAGTGGTGGAT